CTCGCCACCAGGCAGTTCTCCACCAGGGAGTTCGCCACCAAGTAGCTCGCCACCAAGCAGCTCTCCACCAGGGAGTTCGCCACCAGGCAGTTCTCCACCAGGGAGTTCGCCACCAAGCAGCTCTCCACCAGGGAGTTCGCCACCAGGCAGTTCTCCACTAGGGAGTTTGCCACCAAGCAGCTCTCCACCAGGGAACTCGCCACCAGGCAATTCCCCACCAGGGAGTTCACCACCAAGTAGCTCATCACCAAGGCACTTCGCCACCAGGTCAAATGACGAGGTACACTAGAAAAAATTGGTACATGACCAGAAAYGGTTACATCAATTGGCGCCGTCTGTGGGAACACGCTACAAAAAGCTAAGTTCTCATCCTACAAAAGCTAAGTTCTCATCTTACCAAAGYTAAGTCCTCACTTTTTASAAATTGAAGCTATCGCTTTATAGTTTACATTTTTTATGAACGAGAAGATTATGCAGGGAGATAACAAACTAAGTAGCTCTACCAACCTTACTTTCAATTCAAATAAAGCCTCATTAGTCCTCTTTGCAAGGTCCCCCCTACAAAGATGAGCTCTTCGTGGCTTCCGCGGGAGTTGGCGGCCAATAGACTACATAGGCGCCCTTACCGGTCAAGCCTTCCAAGGCTCCCGTGTGAGCTGGCGACCTAAAGTTAGTAGTGTTGCCCCCGAAAGTCGAGCTCCTAGTAGCTTCTTGTAGGGGTGGGTGACCGGGATTACGAAGCTGATGCAGCGCAATCACAGCTCGGCACCTCACTGATAGTTCGGGACCTGGTCAGCTCGGCACCTTGCAGGTAGCTCGGCACCTGGTCAGCTCGGCACCTCACTGGTTGCTCGGCACCTGGTCAGCTCGGCACCTAGCAGGCAGCTCAGCACCTGGTCAGTTCAGTACCTTTCGGTACCTCACAGGTAGCTCAGCACCTAGTCAGCCCGACACCTCATAGGTAGCTCAGCACCTGGTCAGCTCGGCACCTCACAGGCAAAGCCTACGGGCCACATTACTACTTAAGACCTGATGAGGGTAGATTTGGCCCTCCAGTGAAATTGCGACACGTGGCACCTCGTGACAACTAGGCAAACACCCAGGCAACAACTTACCAAGTTGGTGTCCCACCCGG